AATTTTATTTTTATTTTATTCAGTTGAATTAAATGAAGAAAAGCACAAAGAATTAATAGAAAAAAAGGAAATGGAAATTTCCGAGTTAAACGCAAAGTTAAGAACTCAAGAGAAGGAAAAACAAAGTGAAATAATGAAGCTACAGCTAGAGGTAGGTTTAAGAATCTGCTAAACTTGAGGACACATCCCTTAGTCTAAACTGTTCCTTGATTATTTTTCATCACAGTGAGATAAATTTCAGGATTAGAAACAATCCTGTGAGAGGGCTTCATACACACTCATTCTCTATCAAATGCAATGCTCAAACATCATGTAACTGTGAGCTACACTGCCTTTCAGCACTTGGCCTGAAGGTGGGACTCTTCAGTTGTTCAAAAGGTCCTGGTTTCCAGAGAAAGTGTTGTTTCCTCTGAGAGTGGGGACAGATAACTCAGGGATTACCTGCATTTTACAGTCAAGTCTGTGCAGGCTTCATAATACTACCATTCCAGCATAGGAAGAGTGTTTCTAATCTTTAACATTACTCTCTCTGCAGCAGAAATTGTGGGACCCTGGTAAACCAACCAGAAATTCCTGGAATAAAAAGAGACAAATTTCTCCATAATAAATTTCTGGAAAAATATATATTCCAGGGGCAAAAAAACCAAATTCCTTAAAAAATAAATAAATAAAAATAAAAGGAACTTTAACCAGGGCATCTCAAAGGCAAAGAGCTCTAGCTCTTTGCTCTAAAGCCTTTCAAGTAGATTATTTAACCAGATGTCAGAATCCCACAGATAATATTTTAACAAAATATTCATTCTTTAAATTTTTTTCTAGATTCTCCAATCTCCCTTTGATTCATGCTTCCATTGCTTCTCCCCACCCCCCAACTCTCATTTTACTTTATGGTATAAGAATTCACAGGTTTTAGTTAAGATAATTTACCATTCATTTTCCTGAAACTTTGGTATCCTGGGGTGCTTGGTGAAGTACCATGTGTAATCACTGAGCAGAAAGGGGACTGATGTTGACTTTAAAGGCTCTTTACTGCTGCCATCTGGCCAAGTATACCCACAAACCACAGAGGGCTAAATGGCCAACTGAAGTTAATAGTTCATGTTTCAAGATCTACCACCAACTTCTAATCCACTATTTCGGAATTTGCATTTTGTTTGCCATCTGGGTTCTGTCACTGGTCTAGCCAGACTCTATTACTTGATTGGTATACAGAATTCCTTGTTATTTGTCTTCATTGTACCTACCTATTTCTCTCCTCAAACCAGAACACAGTCTCACAGAGTTTATTCTTAGTCCTCAGAGAGGCTAAATTAAATCTGAAGGGAAGAATTACAATGGAATATTGTGCAAAAAAAAAATATATTGGCCTGTAAGAATGACTTATGAGAAATTCTTTAACCTAATCAGTTTAATTCAAACCAGCAAGAGTTCAAACTTAAGACAAAATCTTAGTAAAATTGTGTATACCTTCAGAAATCTCTACAGAAGGATATGTAAATTTTTCTCCCATAACTGTTGAGTACACTATATATTCTTTACAATACATTCATGGTAATGTGAAAATATTTTTATCTATCTTTAAGTTAAACTGCATTCTCAACACTGGCTGCATGATAAATCACCTGATATTTTGAGGAAAAGATGATGCTAGACACACCCTAGAATCTCTAAGATAGTACCCAGGCATTTGGTACTTTTAAAAAAAGCTTCCCAGGGCCTGCGCGGTGGCTCACGCCTGTAATCCTAGCTCTCTGGGAGGCCGAGGCGGGCGGATTGTTTGAGCTCAGGAGTTCTACATACTATATGATTCTGTTTATATGACATTCT